CACGGGGAGCAGTAAGCCCTTGGAGGTAACTCCAATCTGCTCATTGGGTTTGGCCCTTTGGGGAGATTCGTGGTGGCTGTGGTTTATACCTAAATGTAGGAAGGGAAGGGGACTAGGGTGTCCCTATCCACCCGAACCAATTGGAACCAAGGATTAAATGCAAAATGCATTTATGCTTTGGGGCGCTGATCAACGCATTGTATTGATCTACGTGCTTCTAGCAATAGAAAGCACCGTGGAGTTTAGTCTTTCATAGACAGGTATTCACGTTAAAACACATTGACTCTCTGTATAATGTTTCATACAAACAATACGTGATATTTATCTTATACTAGCTGACCCCGGAGCTGTTGTCCTGCGTGAAATTATGTGTTTTGAAATGAAAAGAAAGTTTAATTTACCATTTCATTCTTTTGTTTTTCAATGTAACGTTGCTTGAAAACCACATTTTTTGGTTTCTGTTTCGGTGTACAGAAAAGATGGTTTTCAAACTCGGGATCACGCCACATATGTATGTGTATAGAAAAAATTCGTAAATATTGTCTATATATACTCTTTAGCCATCCTCCAAATTAACTGCGAGACGCACAACGGTCGGAAAACGTTCATGAATTGCAAAGGTAAATATCCTACAAAGCGCTTTATTGCAGTTCACGTATCGACCAATTGATACTTGCTGATCTCATCGCGTTCAATACCAATAACCGCCATGTTGCTTCCTTTAGTGACGTACTTACAAACGTATTTTATCGATCCATCATTTCTAGTTTGTTTGTCCGAAAGAAAAGCACGTGGATAGTGTTTCGTGCAGTGCAACTGTTGATAGTAATGCAGTGACTACTTTTTTCTGATCGATGTTTAATCGTGGCTCATCTTGATCTATATTTTCTAAAAGTCTCGTTTGATCATATATTGTTTCTCTTGTGTATTCAGCACTGTTAGTTAAATCTGAGTTAGTAGTAGTGGCCGACATCGGAAGCCCAAAATTCTTGAACGATTTACCCGATAGTAATTGCTCTACTTTGTTCAATTCAAGTAATACTTCGTCAAATACGTTTTGATCATATTGTACATCGTCTGAGTTTAACTCTCGTCACCTCTGAATCAGAATATCACTGGCCATATTTTCTTGAAATTTATTCCATAGATTAACAGAGTCAGCTGCTTAGTACAGCCTACGTTAGCAATCTAAGCTGAAAAATGTAATTTTTTGCAACATGACATTAGAAATCTAAAAATAATGGTATTTCTCCACTACTTAGTTGATGTTATCTATATATATAAAAATTAAACCCGTTTTCCGTTGTCACGGCATCAGGCGTAAATGGCTGAACCGATTTGGCTGATTTTTGTTTTTTGTAGTTTTCTAATACTCTGCAAAAGGTTCTTATGGAAAAAAATATTAAGAAAATCTCTCAGAGAGATTGAAAAATATACATTTAATATTGCATATACGAATGTAAACGTAATTCAATTTAAATGTCAACGTCATTCAATTTAACAAAAAAAAAAATTGTGGTAATCTGTTTTCATGGAAATTTTATTAAGTATTTGATAAAGTTCGTTTTTTAAAGACTAAGAAGCTTTTTGTTTGCTAATAAGTGTTTATTATTCACGGCATATTGTCAAAGAAATATAAGAGCAAATCAAACAAATGAGAAACGCGAAACGCTAAATGAACTACAAAAGAATCCAAATCAACATAGAAATGTGCTTAATCCCCACAGAGCTGCATTCTGTTATAATGTGGAAATTGATTACAGTTCAGAGCAAATTGTTACTATTGGACTAATGTATATTGTGTGTCCACATTGTAATGTATTGAAATTCAAAAATGAAGTCCCTGGATTGTGTTGCGCCAGTGGCCAAGTCAAATTGACGCCATTGGTACCACCACCAGAGCAACTACATTCATTGGTTTCTGGAAATGGGCCAGATTCTAATAATTTTTTGACTCATATCCAACAATACAATATTTAATTTGAAATGACATCATTTGGCGCAACAAAAGTTATTCGAGACAATTTTATGCCAACTTTCAAGGTAAGTAAGTATAGTGGCAAACAATTTTATTTAGTTTTACAACCATGTAGCTGGTGCAAAATATGTTGAGCCAGTGTTGTGTAGATGTGTTTACAAAGTGTTCCAATACTTGGTAAAGCCTACCTAAAGCTGCCTTGGACGGCTACTGTTCAATGTTGAGGTTTTGTTTTAATTTGAAATGATCTATAAAGTAGTTTGGCAGTTTTTTGCGAGCCACATGGTTCAGAGTCAAATATATCATCGAACAGGTTCCTTTTTGCCAATGCCTGACGAAGACTATAAATTTTTGTAAATATATTTTATGGGCGATTCAGCAAGGGAATTCGAACAGCGTTGCGCACACAACAACTCAGTGAAAAGATCCATTGTGGAACAACTTCAAATATTTTTCCATCAACACAATGAATTAGTTGCATTATTCACAACTGCATTAGACCGCATGCCATCAGATAATCATAGAATTGTCATCAGAGCCGATAAGGCCCCTGCAGGAAAATTTAGAAAACCGAGATATTGTTTTCCTTTGGCGAAACGACTTCAGCATGTGTCTGAAACACATCGATCATATGATGCCTTACAATATCTTATCCTATTTTGGCAAGGTGAAAACGGCTATCATTTTTAAATTAAGATGATAAATCCAGTTACAGGTAAAATAATTAACAATGTATGTTTACAACATTAAAATATATGTTTACTAACTTAAAATTTATATTATTAAATTATTAACAAAAAAAATATTGTTTATAGGTGCTGAAACGAACAAAAAAGTTAGTTCAATGAAAATGGTTCAGGAAAATGAGGACAATCACATCTTAAAGTGTCGGCGTCTATTTCACCAATATGCTGTGGATATGTATGTGAAACCTGAAACTGAACGATTGACATTTATCAGGTTGAACCAGGCAAAACTCCGTTCCGAGGAATATATTCATCTTCGGGATGCCATTAATGCTGATGGAAATGCACAGAATGTTGGCAGAACAATTATTCTCCCAGCAACATACGTCGGAAGCCCGCGACATGTGCATGAATATGCTCAAGATGGTATGTCATATATACGACATTATGGTACACCAGATTTGTTTATCATATTCACATGCAATCCAAAGTGGACAGAAATTCAACAAGAATTATTTACTAGACAATCACCTATTGATCGCCACGATATCACTGCAAGGGTGTTCACTCATGGATTTTATTGTTACGCATCGCGTGTTCGGCGAGACGCGCTGTTGGATGTACTCAATTGAGTGGCAAAAACGCGTATTGACACATGCACATATCCTCATTTGGTAAAGAGGATAAGATCGAATGAAATTGATAATGTGATATCAGCAGAAATTCCCGATAATAATGTAGACCCACTGTGACATGAGGTTATTACAAAAAATATGATACATAGTCCATATGGAATATTACATCCCATTTCTCCGTGTGTGGTTGAAGGAAAATGTTCAAACGCTACCCAAGACAATTGGCATTCCGTAAAATCTATTAAATATGTTGCATGGCTGTCTTCGGAGTTGCTGCCGAAAATTCATTTGATGAACTCACTCAATATCAAATGGGCCGCTATGTTAGTAGTAACGAAGGCATGTGGCGTATATTTTCGTTTCCTATACATGAACGACACCCTACTGTTGTTCACTTGGACGTTCATTTAGAAAATGGTCAACGGATGTATTTTACAGAATCAAACGTATTATAACG